AAGTGTAAGCCATCCATTCCAAAAAAAAAAAAAAGATTAACTTCCCCATTAAAATTATCCCACAAATCCAACCAGCTTATTTGCTCATCCCTACATATTGATCTAAACCTGCTATTCAATCCTAGTGACCTACATAGTATCTCATCCCCACAATTCATTCTTGGTAATATCCCTGACAAAATTAAGCTATGACCCCTTTCCTTAAATTCTCTTATAAATGTTTTATACTTATTAATAAGCTCCTAAGATCCATCTTTCCTTACATCATTAGCCCCAACATGTACCACAAAAACTGCAGTTATATCTTGGACCCATGCTCATGGATAGCATAAGCATATTCTTTTGCTCCTATTGAACTCCACATACTATTCTATTTACATGCCTAACTAGAGAGTCACCTACAACTATAACTTCTTTATCCTTTACACTATCATCCCTTGTGATCCCATCCATTTTCCTTACCTGTTCCCCCTCATCACTAGCAAGTACTTGTAACTGGTTGCTTAACCTAAACCCAAACCCATCCTTGCCCCTAAGTACATTATTTTCCAAGCTTTTAGCCCTATTTCCTTTCTTAGCTCCCTTGAAATCCTGTTTGCCAACTGTACCCTTTGTGTGCAGAAGTTTATGTTCTTCACTAAGCCTTAACACCACTTCAAGCAATTTACATTTCTCCCTTTCCACCTTTGGAACTCTACCGAAACAACCCTCTAACTTCTCCTCTAACCCGCAAACCCTGCAAATAAATTGTACATCCTGGCTAGTAGCCTCTCTAAAAGTACACTTTAACCTAAAATATTTGAGAAAGGATTAGATTGTGGTCAGATGTATAAAAAAAAAGTAGGATAATAACTGTACCAAATACTGATAATGAAAAACAAGATACTAGTCTGTACATACGTAGGATAACCAGTAACCCCTTGATCTGCACATAGAGCTGTTTCTTCTGTACAATCTACCTAAAATAAAAATAAATTTTTATTCTTACTTAGTTACATATACCTTACCTTATAAAAAATGCCATTTTATGTTTCTAGCAGGTTATAGTGCACTGGTAAAAAAAAAACAGTGAATATACTATGCCATTACAACTCCATTTGTACATTTATACAGAACTCACTATATATGAGCACACTATACTTTAATGTTTTCAATTCTCTACAGTATTATTCAAAATTCCTTGCTCATCTTTGAGAGTTGATAGAATTAGATCACAAGGGAAACTTTTAGATATTCTTAAAATAAATTATAATTGCTTTGCATCAAGTAAATAAAATTATTATTGCATATTATGAAGAAAAACATTTGGAACAAATACATGAAATACAAGATGGGTCTAAAGGTTGATGACCTAGAAAAAATAAAACCAACTATATCAAGTAAGATTATACTTAAAACAATAAATGGGGAATTCTTATAATCAGAAATATATCATTGATAGGTACAAGCACATATACAGTATATGAAGAGCTACATTTATAAGGAGTTTGGCTCTCATGCTTTGACTTATTTTGCTGGTGAGTGGAGAGGTAATCTTGAAAAATCAAACCCATATTTGATTTGGTTTGTTTTCAACTTTGCAAAAAGCTATACAAGGGCTATCTGCACTAACCATCCCTAATTTGGCAGTGACAGACTAGAAGGAAGGCAGCTAGTTAACACCACCCACTGGCAACTCTTGGGCTACTCTTACCAACAAATAGTGGGATTGTCCTTCACATATATAATGCCTTCGTGGCTGAAAGGATGAGCATGTTCAGTGATGGGAATTTGAATCTGCAACCCTCAGATTGAGAGTTGAGCTCCTTAACCACCAGGCCATGCCAGGTCCAAACCCATATTATTCAGCTTCACATTTACAATCTTTTGATTCCCTCACTCAAAAAAAAAAAAACAGTCATAAGTAGATTATACAAATATCCCTAAGACTTTACACCTCAATTAAAGCAACTCTAGCTATTCTATGTATAGGTATGATAATAATACACCATTATTGAAGTAGTCTTTTCAAAATTTCAGTAAAGGTTTTACATAGTTAAGATATTTTACATGAAAAGCATGTACCCAGTTGTGAATGATACTTAAGTGCATCCTTAGGATTACACATATGATCAGAGCTAGCACAGATGTGCCTGTTTCTGTATATGGTCAGGGTGCTAGATAAATCACTAATCTTTTTATCATGATATCTGGCATGCTGTATATATGTGAAAATAGACAGAGGGAAAAGGTGTAGCCGAACATAAGAGATGTATAGAAATTGAAAAAACAGAAAGTTGTGCTACAGCAGAACATGCAAGTAAAACACAACATAACATATTATGGGAAAAAACAATTGTATTAGCTCAACCTAAAGGTATTACAGCAACTAATACTTGAGAATTGCTGGAAATAATGAAATTTAAAAAAGAATAATAAATTATTAAACAGAGACGAAGTACCGGCAAATATCCGTCTAAGAATGTGGTGAGACCTGTTCTGATATTTATGTACAAATGCAAAATTACAAACATGTCACATGATATTTAAGAAAATATAAAATGTGATTTTATCTCTTGCAACTTCACTCCTGAAAATGACATGTGACACGTCGAAACATGTAGAGTCATTATTCTGAAATTATTTTAATTGTGTATTGATTTTAACATTGTATGTTTATTATTTTAACATTATACACAAGTGCCAACATATATAATGTAACTTCACCCCTTTACAAATGAGACCAGTCTCATAAAGTGTGTGGTGAAGTAACCTGAAAAATGTAGCAGAGCTAAAAGTATAATTGGTTTGAAGCAGATTAATAATTTGTTCTGTTCAGATCAAGTCATTTTTTGGAGATTGTTGTTGAGATTAGTTTTAATCTTGTCTCTAACCAGTCCAAAAGCAACTTTGCTTACATGAAATGAGCTTTTCCCTAATTGCTGTTCAAACAACTCGCAGAAAAGCTAAACATAAAGTTAAGAAAAATACAATGCAATGATTATAAATAATTTATTTATTGCATATCTAAACAATTGCTTCAGTCTTTTCTTTTAGTTGTAACTAATTTAATCAAACTCTACATAAATTTCCTCTGGTCTTAACTGTTGGTTTCAGTTTTATTTCAGAATACCACACATGTAGCTAAAACTTTTCAAAATGGGTATCAATCTTCAAGTCTGTTCCTCTTCCTTGTAGTAAAAGGACAAAAATGTACACATTATCCTAAGAGACTTCATCAGTTTTATACAAAGTTAAAATAACCTATTCAACATAAATAACATTCAATATTTTCATATATAGATCTGAGCTCTATTTACCCCTTTTCAGTACAATTACATGAAAATATTTAGCAGAAGGTTTTACAATTTATATTAATAACCATACTTAAATGCCTTTAACATTAACACTCATTAATCAAATGAAATGTTAATTCTTTTCAAATTCTTACACCACAACAACTCTGAAACTCATTTTCCACATTCTATTAACTGTCCAAATGTTTTGGAATAAAAGCACTCTCAATAAATAGACTTTGCAAGAATCTTGCAATAAAGGTATCAAAACCAGCTTAATAAAATGAATATTTGCTAAACCTTCCTGATCTTCTAATCATTGTCACTCACCCCCCTAAAAAAAAACATGCAGCAATAAGTTTTCTATCCACAGCAGTATTCTCAGGTGCACCAACTTCTACTAGAAGTAAATTAAGTATTTTCCACACAATAACAGGAGGTTCAATAGGAAATGTATTATGAAACAAATCTAAATTCTTTAACTAACTGAATTTTGAAGAATGAAAGAGGCTAGACAAAATGAGTAACAAAGTGAAACAAAGACAATACAGGTACATGGGAGATGATGCCTTTACTAAAGATCTATGTGTAAGAACTGTTATATTTGTAAGAGCTACTACTATAATTTAAGGCACTTCAGAACTATGACTAGATATGCAAGAACTATTATCATAACTGCAAGAACTTTAGGAAGAAATGTTTCAGGCTGAGAAAACAATGCATTATCATACACGAACAATAATGCTTTCTTCTCAGGTTAAGTATGCTACCCACATGTCTGCTGGTCATTCCCACTAACACATGGTGGATGTTACATTTTTAGTGCATTACCTGACCTGCAAGTGAAAAGGATTATCATTCATTTATACATAGGAAGTTCAAGGAGAAAGTGTATGTGATACCACAAGTGAATGACCCAGGAAAATAGGATGACAGAGTGAAAGTAACTAAGTCAGTGGTTCCAACCTGTGTTTTGCAACACATTAGTGTGTCATGACAAGTTGCTAGGGGTGTTGAGAGAGTTTCACCAAACAATATTGCATGTGGTAGAAAAGGAATGGAAGCTAAATTGTGGATACAAGTTCCAACAAAAAACTAAAAAAAGTCTAGCCACCATAAAAGTACAAGCCTGAAATTCCTGACTGTGGTAGTGGAGTGTCGTGCAAAACAACATACATGGGTTAGGGTGTTGTCAGTGAAAAAAGTGTGGGAACCACTGAGCTAAGATTTTTTTATGACTGACATTCTATGTTACAGCTACATGAACTTGCAAGTATGGAAACTTAGAAACATTTTATGTTAAACAAGAAGGTAGAAAACATATAGCCTGCAGGCCACACTTTTTCCTCATTCCTTTACCTTCTGGTTGTCCAAAATTTTAAAGCTTAAAAACCAATTAAATAAATTTACATATTAGTCAACAAAACAATGCAACAAATTATTTCTCTGTAAAATACATATAACAATAGGCAAATAAAACTGAAAACATAATATTCTACAATACAAGATTACAGCTCAAAGCAAAACACAATAGAAACCTGTAATGTTAGGTACAAAAACAAACATATAAAAGAAAAGGCAAATAAACACCAAGTGCATTTCTTTATTCAAAAGCAAGATAGAACATAATCAAGAACATAAAAAATAAATAATTTGAAATCAAATACAGAATAAATTTTTCTACATCATATTATACTTGTAAAAATAATTCTTGGTGACCTTGAAAACTTCAGGGCCAGCCCATTGAAGGTCTCAGCTGGATCTCACATGTCGAATATGTTGCCCAGAAACTTATCATCATCCATGGGCTCGGTCAAGTCAATTGCAAGACCAGCACCTAGGTTCTTATGATGGCAGGATAAAAACCCAAAGTTACCAAAGAGGAAGCTCTCAGAAAAGTTTTCTTCTATAGTGTGGTGCAGGAATTATCAGACTGTAATTAGGATGAATGAAAATTATCTAACTGCAAGAAAAAAATAGCCAAAAGTGTGAAAATTTTGATCTTGAATAGAATAACTTAGTGTTGCAAATGTAAGATCAAACTAATTATGTTAGTCAGAGATTCAGCTGGAAGTGTAGGCTTAAAGTTGTCATAGCCCAATTGCAGTATTTTTATCCTAAAATTACTTTTAGATATAGAATATTACATTTATTGAACCATAAAACTGAAAAACTACAGTCATAGTAAAGTGGTTTACATACTCATGTGTATCTTACTTGTAGACAATGTATCCCTTACACATATGGATGTCCCAGTCCCCTAAGCTCATTGGGGTTTATGCTTGGACCAATAACTAACTATTTTGTTCAATATTATCAATGCCATGACAATAGCTAATACAGCTGTTCTATTACCTAGCCACATTAACTTCACTACCATCTGGTTATTACACAACCAAAACCCAGGTCCAGTAGGAAAGAAATGGAAGCTAAATTGTGGATACAAGTTCCAACAAAAACCTAAAAAAAGTCTAGCCACCATAAAAGTACAAGCCTGAAATTCCTGACTGTGGGAATGAATACATCACATTCCCATTAAAATTCTTTCAGATACATATTTAGTACACGTCATAGGCTAGTGTTACCTTCTGCCTCCAGCTGCACATACACAGCCTGCAATTTCATGCATTTCAACTGATCCTTGTAATAAAATAATCTGAAGATAATATTATGTAAAACTGTGT